GCACGAAGGGACATGACACCAACAGCTTGCATCCTTGGGTGCGCATGGCGGCCAAGATAAAGCTCGTCTACTGGCTCGTCGTCATTATCCCACGGCTCGGTGCAATCAGCTAATCGTAATAATGGGGAGAAGGGGGGTGTATGGGGCATCTGGGAGGAAGGGCGGGGTTGGCTGTGGGGTCTTGGCGCCAACTTTCCAGCTTCCATCCCCTCGCTCATTATGTGCTGCCCGTTGGGTCCGCTGAATGAGCGCTCCATGTATGTATGCTGTTTGTACGCCGTGTGGATACGACGTGACCGCCTGTGTTGCAGCTATAGGTTGTGCCACACAGCCAGATGATGTCTAACATACACCATCTTGGGCGGTTTAGTTCTTGAATTTGATCAGATGGCCCTCCCGTCCATTTTGATGTCTTAGAGGAGTGCCCTTCCAGCGAGTTCCTGATAAGGTTTGACGAGCCAGGCTGACGGTCTGGAGAATGCGCTCTGCAAGGCAGAAACCACCGAGCTCCAACGACCCGTAGCCCTGCCATGCGGATAGACAGTGTTTATTGATTGCCACCGTCGGCACTGTGGAGGACAGTGTGCATGGATCCGGCTCCGAGTCACTCCGGGTCAGAAAGCTGTCATCCGGCTCACGATGGGGCAACTTGTTCCCGGGTGGCTGTGTCAGTAGTAGTAAAGGGGGGTAACGTCGGCAACGAGAGGTCATGGGAATGTTGCAGTCTCAAAGTTGTGAGGTTCAGGTTGCGTCTTGTGTCCATTCGGGTTGATTGTGGTGCCATGGTGTGTCCTCAGCCAAAAACAAGTTGATATCGATGAGCTGTCTTACCCTGACGTCTGCGATAGTAGATCAACCAATGCATCTGTGCAGAGCGGGGATGGACTAGACACGTCTGTCAAGCATCAAAAGAACTGCATACTCGGAGCTACCCGCCTCAGGTGCTCGCTCGCTGTCAACGGTGGCAGCAAACTCGCGGCTTGAGACACCCGGACGTCCGGAAGAAGAGTAACAGCAAGAACAAGAAGTTGCAGAGGTTGGCAATACCATCATGACCACCAAGGCAACAATTAGCCGCGAACTGTGGCTATTTGCATATCCACCCGCTACCCATGGGCCTCGCCTGTAACCTTCGGTCAGTGTCAGTATGGGGAAGGGCTGGACAAGGAACAAGAAATCAGGCACGTGCCTTCCATGACCCCTCAGCCCCCACGTCGATGCCTAAGGCACTTAGCTAGTGTAGCACAGCAGCACCCCTGCTGCCGCCGCCGAGCTCTAAATGCCTGCCGCCGCTCATGGAGTCTTCCGGTTGCCATCGGCATGAGACCTGGCTAGAGTCAACAACACCCTTCTGCTGGGGGAACGCGCCGGGCCTGAAGTGTTTTCCAAGTTTGTTTTCTGAAACAAAGCCGCCTACACCGGTGACGGCACAATGGGGCCAAGATCTGTGAAAGTGTGCGGTGCCATTGCGGCTCTCGTAAGCGCCGCGGCGGCAGCGCAGCCAGGCGCCGTCAAACCCGTCGGCGTGCCCATGCGAGACCTAGTCTGGGGCAAGCTCAACTTTCTTCACACAACGGATACCCATGGCTGGCACGGAGGCCATCTTCAAGAATCCCAGTATTCTGCCGACTGGGGCGACTATGTCTCTTTCGCCGAGCACATGCGAGCGCGAGCTGACGAGGAGGGCGTCGATCTCCTCCTTGTCGACACAGGCGACCGCGTCGAGGGGAACGGCCTCTACGATGCCTCAAGTCCTAAAGGTCAATACTACTACGATATATACAAAGAGCAGCAGATTGACATCATCTGTACGGGGAACCATGAGCTCTACCAGGCGTCAACCGCTGACGAGGAGCACCAACGAACTGTCCCCAACTTCAAGGACAGTTATATCGCCTCCAACCTCGACTACATAGATCCGGCGACTGGCGAAAGGATCCCGCAGGCTCAGAGGTACCGCAAGTTCCAAACAAAGAACCAGAAGCTAGATATCATGGCGTTTGGCTTCCTCTTCGATTTCACAGGAAATGCCAACAACACTGTCGTGCAGCCCGTCCGGCAGACCATCCAAGAGGAGTGGTTTCAGGAAGCCATTCGGGAGAAGCCCGATGTTTTTGTTGTCATTGGCCACGTCGGCGTTCAAATGCAGGAGTTCAAGGACATCTTCACCGCAATCCGGACACAAAACTGGGACACACCCATCATCTTCTTCGGTGGCCACGTCCACGTACGAGACGCAACAGCCTATGACTCCCGATCATTCGCAATTGCCAGCGGGCGATACTTTGAGACAATTGGTTGGATGTCCGTCGACGGCACGCTCGAGAAGACAGACTCCTCCTCCACCTTCACCGACCTCTCCTTCTCCCGCCGCTACATCGACAACAACCTGCTCGGCCTTCGTCACCACACCGGCCTTGATGCAACTGCCTTCCCTACTGAGCACGGCCGCAATGTGACGGCCATGATTGCCAAGGGTCGTGCCGAGCTCGACCTGGACTACACCTTCGGCTGCGCCCCCCAAGATTACTGGATGACGAGAACACCGTACCCAGACGACAGCAGCATCTATACCTTGTTGGAGAAAGAGATCCTCCCTGCCGTTGCCGCCGGCCCAGGGCGGGAAGATGTGCCTCGCCTCGTCATCATGAACACGGGCGCCATCCGCTTTGACATTTTTAAGGGGGCTTTTACGCGTGATACTACGTATATCGTCTCCCCATTTCTCAGCGTGCTAAACTACGTTCCCGATGTGCCCTATGAGGTAGCCAACAAGGTACTTGCGATGCTCAACAGCGGCGGGCAGATTTTCGATGCCGCGGGCGCTGCGGAGTTGAAGTACATGGCTATCCCGGAACAGTGGGCTATCCGAGAGTCGATCATCTACGAGAAAAGTACGCCCCGTGGATCGGACGAGGGGCGGTATAAGCAAAAACCCTTGACGGGGGGTGACGGTGATGATGACTCCAACACGGAGCCGGTGCTGATCGAGGGGTACACGACGCGCGATGATATTGGAAATGACGGGGATGATGCGGTGCATGTGAATATTGACTTTTATGTCGTACCGAACTGCATTCAGGCCGAAGTTGGATTTTCTGGAGATGACGAGGAGAAGCCCGAGACAGTCGATTTGGTCTTTTTCGACTTCATCCAACCGTGGGTATTGCTCGCGCTAAGGTTCAGCGGGGCTGTTTACGGTAAAGATGATGTGAAATCGTATGTTGATGGCACGTTTACCGAGTTGATGGCGGGATGGATCAAGGAGAATTGGCCGGCCAAGTGCTAGCTGATACATGATCACAGTGTAGATATAAGTGTCTCGTGTAAGGGGGCATGCTGGTGTCGTGGTGCTTTGTTCGGTTGATCAGGCGGAATGTCCGAGTAGTTTGTATCGGTGCGTGTTCCGTGGTGAGTATTGTTTCTCGCACTTACTCGATATGAAAGATCCAGTGGTTGTTGCTGAGAGCTTGGGAGGGGGATATTGGACAGGTCAATCCTTCGATGGCTTATAGACAGATATAACATGGTGTTATAATATATGGACGATACCATAGATATTACAAAAATCAGATCTCAAAGTCCGAAGTCAGTTTTGTGCTACCTCAGCTGTCAAATATTTTCCGTACGCCCTTGAACGCCGCCTCCATCCGTGAAAATGCTACAGAAGCTAACCTGCAATGTGAATCCCGTCCCCATCAGAGGGTTTTCCCAGTCCCGAGTCAAGAAAATGAAGCCCATGCCCCACCACAGTGGACGTGCAGGATGGAGGCTATAACTGATCCAACAGTCTCCTCCTCCTTCTGTCGATGAGTTCTTGTTGCACTTCGTCCATCGTTGGTAACTCCCACCCCCTCCCGTCTCCTATATTTCCTGGTAATGGTTCCCATCCAGCAGGTAGCTCGGTAGAACCTGCTTTGGCAAGATTCTCGAACGCCTGCTCTTCTTTTGCCGCTTCATAGGCCAGCAGCGCATCATCCTCCTCGCCGGGGGCATATCCGTAGTAGGCGGCATCGACCTGCCTGCGCAAGTCGTCCCGCGTCTCGAGGGGCTTCTCGTCCTCCTGGCGGGCCTTGGTCGCCGCATCGAACAGCTCCTTGACGCCAGGCAGGTCGCGGGCGCGGCCAAAGTACTTGTAGCCCCTGCCGCCGCCGGGAATCTCGCGGCCGGCCTCGTCGTAGACCTTGGCGCCGCCGCGCATGTAGTTGGGTCCGCCCAGGTTTCGTATCTGCACCTCCCACATGTGCTTCTCGCGCATCAGCTTGTTGATCTCGTCGTTGAGGTCGCGGATCTGGTAGTCGCTCAGGGCCGGGTCCTGAATCCGCGACACCTTGCGCGAGATCTCCTTGAGGACCTGTCCGCGCCACTTCTCGCAATTCGGGATGCTGTCCTGCTCGGTGATGGCGCGCGGCCGGCGGGTGCGCCCCGCATCGATGATGCCAAGATCGGCTGCTTGCGCTTCGCGGAAGCGAAACAGCATCGACTGCGCTTTTTCAGAGTTTCGTGCCTGGGCGAGGGGACATTGGTTAGCATTTTGGAGAATGAACAGGTGGTAGGGCAGCTTACCATGATGTCTGGATTGTGTTGAAGAAACCCGGGGAATGCTGGGGGGCGGGAGGATCAGACTTGGGAGACTGATTGAATGGGTGTGTTTTGGGCTGCTCTCAAAATGTTGAAGCTTGTCATCCGTTTGTTGCCGCCGCTTCCGTTTTCTGAGTGGCCGGCCCGGCCCCATCTGCCAGACCCCTGCCAATCAGACCCGGTGCACGGGCCCCGACTCTGTCCCTCGACCCTGCGCCGCGCCGTGTTCCAGTTGCGACTGCGAGGTTGATTGTTTAGGATAAAGCCTTTTACAACCCTCTGCCTTGAGCTACCCTTCGCCTCCCCCGCCTCATTCCTTCCCATCTTCTTACATCACACACATCCTAGCCATACGAAGGTCGTTTCATAGACGTATTTACGTGGCGGATTTCTAATAACCTACCACCAATGAATCATCCGGCAGCTTGGCCGAGTGGTCCAAGGCGGCGCATTTAAGGTCTTCTTCCTTATCTCTGCGCTCTCGAAAGAGGCGCGGGTTCGAACCCCGCAGCTGCTACTTTTTGGTGTAACTGTATTATTACAGCACAACTTGCTCCTTGCTTTTTGGCATTCCCTCGAGAGCGAGAAAATAACATGCATGACCAATTTCCAGGGAAACCCATCATACACGACGTAGACATTCCTACTCAATCGTGAAGAGCTCAGAAATGACGCACATTCACACTTACAGGTATTAAGGTCAGACCAAACAGTCCCTCATCCCCCAGGACCAGGCAGCGAAACGGCGGGGCGTTTATAGGTTACTGATGAGTTTAGCAGGAGACATGCCCAGACCGTTGAGGCTGCTTTGAGCACCCTGCGAATGCAGAGTAAGGACCCGCTTGTGGCGCTGTGGCTCGTGCTTGGGTCGGCATGCCGCTAGTGAGAGTCCCTGAAAGCTCAGGTATTTGTCGGCGCGCTGCGCCGCGTTTTGTCTTTCTCCTTCCTTCACACTTTTCTTCCTTCAAAGCTCCATAATCAGAGCACAGCTTTGTCTACCTCGTTCGTAGATGCCGAGATATTCGCATGTCTTTCAGCAGCCGCTGTCATTACAGGAAGAGCCATTCAATTCTCGAGTTTTGTCAAATTTTGTTCTCGTCCATCCATCTCGTCGTCGCAACGTCAACTCCCTCTGGCGACTTACTGCCCAATCCCAACTGTCTCACTGACCGAACTGAAACCTACAATCTTCCTCATTTTGGCACTACCCAGCCAATGTTCTTCTCCGGTCCATCTTCCACAGTCCTAGAACGCATCAAGTGATGCTTGACCATGGGTTATCCCTCCCTCACCCCGCCTTGCGATGACGAAAAGATAAAACCCGGGTCTCACCACTACTACGAGATTATACCCCACTCCTGACCGACTCGGACCCCCTTCTCTTCGAACATCAAGGGAAAGGCGCGGTCTGGGGCGAATCTGAGGGCCCAACAAGAATAGATATCTGAGCAGGCTTATATTATACCAAACTATATCACCAGCCCAGAACTAACACTCAACCCTCAACTTACCCTGCCCTCTTTCTCTCTGTTCTCCACTTCCCACACCCCGATTTCCATCTCGTGCCAAGTCGGCTGTACCCAGCCCCTCTGGCGCAATGACGAGACCTAGCACGACCCAGGTGCGCCGGCGCTGTATGACCTCTTCTCGTGGTTCGGTTTCCTCACGGAAGCCAATCTCCAAGGCAGGGTAGGCGCGTCTGAGCATAGCACCCATGACGGAAACAAATGTAGTTTTCAATCGGAGCGCACAGACTGGGGCTTTCCACACTGGACACGCTGGTTTTGGCAGCGGCTGGGAGGAACGGAAGAGCTGGTCGTTCGATGGCAGACAAGAGCTTCTGCACTTCCTGTCGTGTGGCGAAGCAGAGTGCCGGAGTGGATTTCAAGGGGAGTTTGGGCAGAGGGGGAGTTGATGGTTACGGTGTTCTTTCCGATCCATACCTTTTCCCAACGTTATGTGGGAAGCAAGCAAGAATCACCCGGTGATGACTTCAGGACCAAAAAGCCAAATTTGCAGGCAGCCAGGTGGGCAGACACCTTGCAGTGCCTTGCTATAACCACCTTTGGTTGTCGTTGAGAACTAAAGAGAGCTAATCTGAGGGCTGAATTCTTGGTTGCTTTTCATATATCACTACCCCAATCAACATACCACATGGCCCTATTTTTGTCATGTTGTTCATGAAGCCCTTTTCGCCGATTCGTCCGTATCAGGCAAGTTTGAGGGTGTGTTGGGAATGGAGGGTATGGACCGTAATCGCAGGAGAAGCAACTTGGTTTATATAACGAGACATTATTGAAACCGAAAATGGAACAAAACACTGATTCTTATGCCAGCAGCATGCTACCTGCTACAATGTGAAATAACCATGGCCGCTTTCCCTAAGCTTTTGGAGACCTGGAACGTTTACGCCCTTCCTGTGTATCTTGACCGTACAACACGTTATACAAAGCAGAAGAACCCCGATTCCCCTGCCTGCACAATTCCGTCCATACTTATTTTCTTCTATCTCTCAGTGATACAACACTCTACTGTGTCTTCTTGGTCTCCTTCTTCCTCTCACCCGCCGGCGGCGCGCTGTACATCCACAGGGCCACAAAGCCGACCCACCCGGCGACGGTGGCGGCGATACCGGCGATCCAGGGCCAGGCGCCGCTGATAGCGAAGCTGCGCGGCCACTCGTCGTGGGCCATGTGGCGCACCGACACAGTGTTCTTCTCCTCGACGTTGGTCAGGAAGGGGCGCTTGTAGTTGACCTTGAAGTTGAAGATGCCGTGCTGGTCGGGCAGCTTGATCGACGCCGTGTAAGCAGTCGCCTCGGGTGTCGAGTGCGAAGGGTCGAGGCCGAGGGCGACGCGGTGGAAGGGCGAGAGCATGGAGAACTCGAGCTGGAGCACGTCGTTGGTGGGGACAGTAAAGGCCGTCCAGGTGTCCCACGACCATTCGGAGAGGGAGATAGTGTAGGTCTGGGGGTGGTTAGTGGTGGTGCATTGTGGGAAAGGGGAGGGTGGGACGTACCACGTCGTTCTTGATCCGGTAGATGGCCGGGTTCGACTCGTTGAGCGCGCTCACCTCATCGAGGTGGTGCTCGATCCAGTTGACGCGCAAGACGCCCGTCTCCTGGAACGTCCACCCACTGACGCGCTTGGCGAACTCCCGGTTGAACGTCTTGACGGCCTTGGTGGCGCCGATCTTCTTCACCTCGGCGTCGAACCACGAGTCCCGCAGCATCTCAACCGAGCCGACAAGGGCGAAGCGCGCCGAGTTGCGCGCCTGCATAGTCGACACCAGCGCCAGCTGCTCGCCCGCCGCAAACAGATCGTCGACCACCTCAGCCTGCTCCTTGGGGTTGTAGCTGTAGGCGGTGCGCGGGGCACGGAGGATGGGCGCCAGCAGCTCACCGGCGCCGAGGGTCACACCTAAGCCGTGCGGGAAGGCGAGAAGCTGGTCCGCGGGGGCGCCAACGCTGAAGAAGTTCTTGATGTCGGGGCGGACGGGGCCCGGCGGGGACAGAACGAGCACGTCGTGCGTATCAGGGGCGCTGATCGAGTCATAGTTGAAGTGGTCTACGGCGAGACCGGTGCGCTCGGTGGGTAGTTGGATGTCGAGCTCGGCGAGGAAGCTGACGAGCGAGTTTGGCGCTGCGCTGCCGGAGCTGAGCGTCACGAGGATGTTGCCGTTGGCATTGAGGAAGTCGAGGAGGATGCTCGGGGTGAGGTTGGGACCAAGGCCTGCGGCGGCTCTAGTTAGGATATGCCGCTCCGAATAAAAAGACAGCCGAAGGCGCGCTTACCCTTTGCCTTGGAAGGAAAGACAATGACATGGTCATACGCCCGCTCGCCGAGGCGGAATAGCGACAACGTCTCGCTCTTGGGTGTCTCAAACGTGAGCTTGAACCCTCTGCCTGCAGCACCAATTGATCAGCACGAAACACAAACAGCAAGAGCCGAGTGGCTCTGGGGATACACACTCTCCAGATCGCCAAAGAACTTGGAGTAGCCGGCCTTCTCAGCGACATCGTCGAGCACTACCAGCAGCCTGTCGCCGGTGGTGCTGATGGCCGACACAGCTGCCACAAACAGGAAAGCGAAGAAGGAAAGGAGCGACCGCATGGTTGGATCCGTTGTCAAAAGATTCCCACTCCTGTACTAGGAGGAAATCAGGGGAGGGGAGAGGCAGGGCAGTCGACAGGCGCAAATTACGAGTCGAATGTTCATGCCACGCGAAGCTATGCTATCTCAACTCGACACTGTCGCTTCAGGTCGGCGTTTCAACTGGCACTGAACAACTTTCCAGCTGCAGCGAGCGGTTCAGCATTCAGCATACGTAGCCCTTGCCAAGACCCAGCCGACAGGGGTCAAAGCTCAAACAGCCCGCTAGGCGCTAAGGCGTGCACCCAGGTACCCCGGTATCTCTATTTTGCCGTAGTTTCGCCGCAATTGAACATCGGTCCTGGGAGCTTCGCAGCCACGGCCATCCAACTCAAGCCGCATCGACAGCTCCGTCGTCGACCATCAGCACACCGTTGACAGGACAGGCGAGAGGTCAATTGCGTGCGTGCCCTCCCACCCCCCACCACCGCCGATACCACCACTAACCCCGACTCTCCAAACAGACACACACATCCAGCCAAAATGTCGGCCACTGGTCCCCTCGCCCCTCACTTCTGGGCCGCCCCCATCCGCTACTTCCGCTGGGCTGCCCGCGAGAAGCCGGCCTACTTCTGGTCCGTCGTCATCGGTGCTGCTGGCCCCGTCAGTCTGATCGTTGTGCCGCCTCTGCGCCACCGCTTTGGCGACCCCGACGCGCCGACCATCCCCATGACCTATCCCAGTACGTCAGACACGCCCCGTATGGTGCTCGTGGCTACGCCCTGAGATACCCGACCAGCCGCTACATATGAATGTATTTTAATGGTGAGCTTTGCTGACATTGGCGGCAACTAGTCCCCTCAACCCCGAGGAAGACGCTCACAGGCTATGACGACGACACCGAGGAATGATGCGGATAAACAAAAATACCAAACTGACGAGGAAACAACCTGTATCAATTGTACATAACAGCGTTGGGCGGCATGGTAGATGAGATGGACGACGGCGGAGGAGCAGGCTGCAGCCACTGGCTCTAGGCTACAAGTGAGAAAGTCTTGCCACTAGCATCTCAGACGTCGCTGAGCCACTCGAGATTTACATATGAGAAACCATGGCCCCACATATCAAGCTCTCCAGAACACTGTGAAGCAAGAAGTATACATTCGGCGCTGTCTTTACCAAGGCAGCCCTCCCAAACTCCCAAGCACTCACGCTGGCCATCCCAGGAATGCTTTCCGACTATATTTTATCCGCTTTTGCACAGCACCACCATAATACTTCGTCGAAGAACGCCTGACCACCTCTATCTATCCCGCTGCACCAGGTTCCACTCATACTAACCCCCCATTAGCACTCTTGAATCTTCATACTTCACAGTAAAAGAGGGAAACTCACAACCCGCCCATCATCATCCCCGGTATATACC